AAGATTTTAATTTAAAATTACCAAATTTATAAATTTCCTAATTTATCTATTGATTTGTGGTTAATATTGGTTCTTATAGTTACCACAAACAACTCAGTTCTCTCTTGAATAAGCCTATATATATATATATATATATATATAGATATAGATATATAAAATTGAGAAAATTAATTGAGTTGGGTTGTGTTAAATTTTTTCAAATTACAAGCATTAAATTTGATTATTCAAATGTCTTTAACCCAATTAACTCAACCTATGAACACCCATACTGATAAGTATTTTAATTTCTAGTTCTGGGCTTTAGAGTACAGCCAAAACAGAAAATTATAAAAGGTCCGCAACTTTGAGACGCATCACCTTTATAAAAGCCAGGCCCGTAACTTTTAACTTACAAAAATCAAAAATCATAGATGGCCCCAAAAATTACGTATTTTTAAAATATATTTGAATCATCCGTACGACAAATTTAATAATGTATTAAATATTTATATACTTAAAAAAACTTCAAAAAGAAATATTTTTTTAACATTGGGATCGGTTAAAACCGAGACCCCATAACCGGTTATAGAATGGCATGACCGGTCTTTCACCTTTTCAACCGGAATCGATTATACTAAGACCGGTTATGGCCAACCTTAAAATTGATCGTGACCAACCCAGAACCGGTCTTTAACCACCGCCACTCTATAACATTTGTTCAATGGGCCTATTAAATTAGTAAATTAATTTTAGAAACCTAATAAATTAACCCTTTTGACATTTTAGAAACCTCATAAATTAATCCTTTGATATTTTTAGAAACCATAACTTATATAAATTTTTCGATCCAGAGTGTATCGGAGGTATTGTAGCCTTTGGTCTTCTAAAAGACTTTGGTCTTCTAAAAAGTCAAGTCAGGGGTTAAACTAACCAAAGATGGAGAGATTGTGTAAGTTTAATTGTTGCATATAAAGGTATATAAATATTATTACTTTAAATTTTTTAAGAACATTTAACCAAAAAACTTGGCATTAAATTTCAGATCTTAATATACACAAGAAAGCCCTACCCCTTAAATCTATTCACCAACCTAACACTACAGATAAACTATAAACCAACATTAACGGCTTATAAGCCCATGAAAACCCAATTAAAACATAGATCTTCAGCCGCCGTAGGACATGTAACTGGTGACGGCTTTAGTTCCCTCCGCCACCGCATGCTTCCCAAGCTCTCCGGGCAACACCAGTTTCACCGCCCCCTGAATCTCCCTCGACGTCAATGTCATCTTCTTGCTGTACTCCGACAACCGCCCCGCCTCCTCCGCCAGCCGCTCGAACATATCCGTCATCAAATTGTTAATAATCGTCATTGCTTTCGACGATATCCCCAAATCAGGATGTACCTGCTTCATCACCCTATACACATATCTCTTATACCCTTCACCACCACCACCAATCTCCCCGACTTTCCTCCTCTTTTTCTTTTTCTTCACCGGATCTCCACTCGCCGCCTTCCTCCGCCGACCGCCGCCGCCGTCTCTGGTAGTACCGGGAGTACTGGCATCTTGAACTTTAATCTCTCTCCTTTCCCGACCAATACCATCATTCACAATATCTTCTTGTTGGGTGTCATCATCATCTTCTAGGGTTTCTTCTTCTTCTTCTTCTTCTTGTTGTGGGGTTTTTACGGTGAAGACTTCGATCTTTTCTTTGGATGAAACGGTGGCGCCGCCGCCTCTGGTGACTGGTTTTTTGGTGGTTTGATCGACTACTGAAACTTGAACTGATTCTTGTATGGTTTTTTTGGTGGTTTTCACCACTGTACTCTTCTTTGGAGCCATTTTGTTTGTATGGAATTTGGTGGAGTGATGAGTGGCATATAAGTACAAGTGGTTGCAGTGGCAGTGTGCATGGATGGAGGGGTTGTGGGGATGGCACGTGGAGGACACGTGGCTGGAGGTCGACGAGTTTAACTGCTACGTGTGGTAAAACTGTCAAAACGTTTATCCAGGTTAAATATTTAAAAAAAATATTTATTGCATATTTTGGTCATGGAAATAAGACTTACGGATAGCAGTTACCTCCCGAACCAGCGTTACAAAGACCCCAGTACGTGAATTGCGATCACGTGACATCAGTTTGTTTTCATGAAATCTATAAGATTATTTTTTTACATTTAAAACTTCATAGCAAAACATTGTTAAGGTAACCTTCACAGTGTTTTTACTGTGAATGTTCGACTTTTTTTTTATCTTCATAGCGTTTTATTGTGAAGTTTCAAGTGTAAAAAAACGGTCTCACGAAAACAGACTAGTCTCATGTGAACCCAACTCTCAAGTATGTTATCTGATAAGTGAGATAGAAGATAGTTATTCAACAAGTTCTTATTGCGTAGACGACAATATTACCCAATAATATAAGTAAAAGTCATGTCTTTGCTGGTAAGCCCTTGCTTAATAAACGTTTGATAAGTGACTACTAAGTCACTAAGAAATTTGTAGTTTTCTTGAACGTATTGTGTTTTGTATTATATATTGCATGTATTAATTTGGATGGCCCTTTAACTTTCAAAAGATATATATGGTGATTGACATATATTAGTTTCATAACGAGTTTTTTCACATGTATTTGGTTCATAATGTGAACTTTTTGGCATGTTTGTGAAACAAAAAATATATGTAAAAAAGTTTCATATTATGTACCGAATACATATGGCACAAACACATTGAAAAACAAATATATGTTAATCAATACATTAAATACTATTACTTAGACGAAAAAAAAATCATGTAAAACAAAACTTTATAATAAAAAGAGTTACGTATATATCACAAGTTATGAATTTCTCAAATGATTATATTAGAAAATATATTATATTAATATAAAAGATTATTATGCAACTAAAAAGTTATAATCTTGGAACATTTTTTGAGAGATTATTGTGTTCTAGTAAAATGTAAACAAAAGATTTTTTCATTAAAAAAAGCCTAAAAATCTATTTATAAAAAGTTTCAATTATAATTTACTTTGTCATATTTATAATCGTTACTTTGTAAATACCATTTACAAATAGGATTTGGAGAATGTGAGATGCTGTAAATTTGATTTTCAGTTTGAAATGGAGTTTAATCATTGTCTGTTTGGCAGTTGTTGAATGGTTTTGTGCAAAATAATTAAGTGGTCAGAATGATTAAGAGGCTCTCATGATATAATGTAAAATTTTGTTTGGTAATTATTTACAATGAAATTAGATCTCTTAATGGTTAAGGGATGTCCATAATACAAAATCATTTAGAGGGTTTTAGAACCATTAAAAGACAGATTTTTTTTTGCCAAACAAGATTCACCTTTTACGATTCAGAGGTTGCCTCTTAATTGAACTATAATGATATTGTTTCATATGATTTTTTCATATGTTATATAATGTGTTTGCTTCATATATATGCGATTCATAATGTAAATTTTTTTTGTGTATCTTTTTGTTTCACAAACAAGCTAAAAAGGTTCACATTGTAAAACAAATACATGTGAAATAAACACTCTGTAGAACACATATATGTTAATCAATGATCCAAATTCTAGTCTTATATGGAAAAAAAATCATACGAAATATTACATGATGCATCAGTTCTTAAAGTTATCATAATTCTATGGATTCTCAAAATAAAGTCCCTATATTTTTTGAAGGAAAAAAATAAAAAATAAATAAGGTCCCCATATTTATATAATTAGAAGGGTACTCGTGCAATTCAGTAAGATAAATCTCGATTTTAATATTTACTTTTAATTCTTTGTCTTTATGATATACGATTTTATGTGTTTTTGAGAAAACGGTAATGTTTTTATTTTTGAATAAAATATAAATTTGAAAATAGCATAAAAATTAAAAAAAAAATAGCTCAATATTAGTATCAAATTCTTTTTTTTTGGTATAACTTCTTTAATTCAGTTTTTTATTATAATTTAATTTAGATTTAATAATAAAATAATTTATTTTTGGTTTAATAATATATTTTTTATAAAGATAATAATTAAACATTATGTTATAACTCAATAATTATCATAATTATATTTTAGATTTTCTATATTTAAAATGAATGTTTGTCTTATATTTGATTATGTTTATCTGCAGTTAGTTACATAAATTTAAAAATGGAGCTTTAATAAGTTGTAGTTACGTAAAATTATTTGTAATCTTGAATTTTAATTAATATGCATCAATAAACAATACTACATGCATAAAAAGTAGTTTTTAAAAGTTTTTGTCAAATGCTTTCTAATATAGTATAGATATGAGATGTTAATTCCAGTGTTGTTTCTCAAAATGATGAAAGCATTTTTGGTCTCTGTAGTTTCTCAAAAGTAACATTTTTCGTCCATGCAGTTTTGAAGTTACAGTTTCACTATTGTGGTGTGTAAAAACGATCGAATTTGTTCCCTCCTTATAACGGATGTTAAAATAACTCATTAAATTAAGGATATTTTAGTCTTTTAAAAACTTTCCGGTCATCTTTTCCGGCCGCCACCATATCCCTCTTTTGTCATCTTCCCAAACCATGAAACACATAATAGTCCATTTACACCTAAAATCAAAATTAAACCTAAATCCAAAACTCAAAATCGAAATGCTGAAGGATGAAGAAGAAACGAATGACGAGCAAAACTCTCCGATCATATTTTCGATTCTCTACAAAAATTCTTCAGTCATCTTTTTGATCCTCGACTCTCCTATTACTGGCCAACATAAATGTCGACCACTCCATTCTATCAAACCTAGAACCCAGAACACACCTCTAGCGTTCAATCTGCTCACATTTTATCTCCAAACTTTGGATAAACCTTGTCCTAACCCACCCCTTTCTCTTCAATCAGCACTCAAGAAACGACCTCCCATCCTGGCTTTGAGTCTGCTAATTGAATATGTTGTTTGGATACAAAACATTTTCTAGGTAACATACCATCTTCAATTTGTTTTTTTTTTTCTTTTCATTTTTAGCTATTAATTATCACTTATGTCTGATTCATTCAGACGTTTAGTAATTCAAACTGTTTGCTATTTAATTATTTTCAGAGCCTCTTATCATTTAATAGAGTCTGAAAATAAGAGGTAAACTAATATATTAATTCTTCTTATTTGCCCTTTTATTTAATTCTATGTCTATTGCTTCTTTCTCCACCAGGGACGTCACCGTCCATTCATCACCCATATGGCCATGTGAAATGAACGCCCCTCCACTCTCTCTAGATCTCTCTCTCTCTCTCTCTATGTGTGTATGTATGTATGTATGTATGTATGTATGTATGTATGTATGTATGTATGTATGTATGTATGTATGTATGTATGTATGTATGTATGTATGTA